TATATATATATATATATATATATATATATATATATATATATATATATATATATATATATATATAGCGCATTCATTGTGCAAGCATTGCACACTTGATGTACAAAATGTACAGTCGCATGTTCACATTGACTGATTGGTTTGACTGTTTTTTTTACTGTTAGTGTTTTCTACCTAATCATTTTTTTCAGGCCTGCTGATAAATAAATAATAATTTAAATAAATAATTTAAATTACCAATTAAAAAAAATGTTCAATGGAGAACAGGCTAAAAAAGCTTTTGTTATTGGTGGACAGTTTTAAAAATAAATGTTTCTTAATGGTTCCATGAGGAACATTGATGAAATCTTTTAATCGAACAAAATGTTCTGTTTAGATGATGAATGTGCTTAATTAATAAAAATATTAAAATGTAGTAAAATCACACTGTGAAAAAATATATCTTTGCAGAACCTTTACTAAAAGGGCTTGCTGCTAGATACGGCCGCGGCTGTATGTTAACAAGAATTATTTATATTACTTATTACATTTCTTATTAATTGTATTTTATTAACGTCTACCCCTTCCCCAACCCTAAACACAACCATCACAGTAATGTAAAAACAGATCTGGAGTCTTCTCTATTAGTACAACTGATTAACCACGAGAATTGTTTTTATCATTTATGAAATTTTCCATAATTGTATTTTATTAACATCTACCCCTTCCCCAACCGTAAACCCGAGCGTCACAATAATGTTAAAACAGATCTGGATCTGGAGTCTTTTCTATTAGTATAATTAAATTAATCATGTTGATGAATGATAACAGCCTTCTGAGCCTGTAGGTGCAGAAGGCCCCTACTGGCCCATATCTATCAGCTGATAGCCACTGATAACACCCATTCAATAGAGTGATAACATTTGAAGTGGGTAAATTGTAGATTGGTTTGGCCAATTATTTTTACTGTTAGTGTTTTCTAAAAAATCTTTTTTTATTTCAGGTCTGCTGATAAATGTCATAATTTAAATCAACAATTAAAAAAAATGTTCAATGTAGAAATGGTTAAAATGCTTTTGTTATTGATGGACAGTTATGTAAAATTAAAAATAATTGTTCCCTAATAGTTCCCTGAGGAACATCGATGAAACCTTTTAACTGAACAAAATGTTCTGTTTAGTTGATGAATGTGCTTAATTATTAAAAATATTCAAATGTAGTAAAATCACACTGGGAAAAAAAAATTGTTCTTTGCAGAACTTTTACTAAAAGGGCTTGTTGCTGGGTCAGACACTATTATTATTATATTACAGATATTATTTATTAAATTTCCCATTAATTGCTATTTATAAACACCTACCCCCTTACCCCAACCCTCACAGTGATATAAAAACAGTAGTTGTACCAAGTATTATTTATGTTATCTTTTAAATTACCCAATAAATTGTATTTTATTAACGTCTACCCCTACCCCAACCCTAAACCCAAACGTCACAGTTACGTAAAATTTTAATATTGTTATACATGTTACAAAAATGATGTTATTGTTGTGCACATCCACCGCTGTATCCTATCTAGACTTTACCACTAAAAGGTTCTTTGGGGAACCAGAAATGGTTCTTATAATGAAAGCATTGCAAAAATCTCTTAGTAGTATCATTTATATATAGTAATAGTATTTATTAACCCCCTTTAGTGTATTTATTATTATTATGTTTTTTAACAACAACTGGCTTTCAGGATATTGGTTTACATTTTATTTGCTTATAAACAAACAAAAAATAAGAACGTAAATAATTAAATAAACATTTTCAAACAGCTGACCGATGAAATAACTGATTATACAACATTCTTATTTACATTCAACTTTGCTTTTTATTTCTGGACATCAATACAAATTTATTGAAATACAAAAATTGACATGTTTGCCACAAATTAGTCTGGCTTTTTATTAGAATTGCTTTTAGATCTTGAAAAAAAGAAGCTGACAATAGCAATACATGTCATTTGCACGTGTTAAATAACGTGTCTATTAATAATAATATTACTATTAATATAATACTAATAATAATAATAATAATAATAATAATTATTATTATTATTATTATTATTATTAAGTATTATACATTGTTCGCCCTTTTTAGCTCATTTAGTATATTATTAGCAATTCAGTTACGGTAATAAAAAAAACTAATAAAACAGTAATTAATAATCGGTTCTGCGTATTAATTATCGAAGAGAAGAACATGGAAATGATATAAATAATATGAATCGATTTATAATTCCTGCAGCCCAGCCTGTCAAAGATACAGGGAACACACCTTTAAAAGCGCTTTATGTTCGTGTGGGAACCGACACCGGTCACGTCACTCCGTTATCGCGTCCATTCAGAACTGACAATAGAGAATAAACGGGCGACTTACCATTCATACTGGTAACACCGCCGTCAGATGATCGCGCTTTCATCACGAGGGAGAGAATCATACACACATCGCAGATTTTGACGGGCTTTACACCGGAATGCTGGATTCGTGCAGAACCGGCATCTGCCGCAGATGAAGAACAGAAGAAACAATGGTGCAGGCGAGCCCACAAACTACCAATCCCACTACAGTCAAGGCGAAGCTCATGAATATTGATGAGCTCTCGCTGACGCTCTTGAGATCATGTCCAATGAAGAACGCTTGGCTTATGAATATTAAATAGGAGGCTGTGACGTTCGGTTTGTACAGTCCAATGCTGGAATATGAGCTGTTATATATTAAAATGAAAGCCTTCTCCGTACTAAAACAGGCTGCAGTGGGGATTTGAGCGTGATCCAGCGGCCACTAGAGAGACACAGCAGTACCTGCCGAGGGGATTGAGGGATTTCTCAGGCCGCTGCGTCTCCTGGGTTTTTGGCCAATTTAATTGTTCCTCTTCATGGAAGCACGTGGGTGTGTGGCTGGCTGGTCAAATGGGATTGTGCAGGCTGTTGATGATTTCATTTTGACCCGTTTGGGATTGAGGAAAACGATATACCCTTGTTGTAAATGAATGAATGAGGAGTTTTTACATTAAGTTCATACGATAAAGACACATATAAATAAATAAATTATGACAGAATGATTTTAATATCATTGCTCTCTAGTATAAAAATGTCTACGTATAATTTTAATCCTTAATAATAATAATAATAATAATAATAATAATAATAATAATAATAATAATTATTATTATTATTATTATTATGATAATAATCTTTAAAAATTTCTAATAATAATATATACCACTACTTCTACTACAATTAATAATAATAATAATAATAATAATAATAATATACAAATGTAAAAAATAAACAATTAAAATAATCACAATTATATTTCAATACAATAACAGTACCAGTATTTAATTGTGCTCACATTTGCTAGCACATTTTTAATAGCCTAAAAATTATATAATAAAGCATAACTCTGAATTTAAAGTGATTCAGGGAAAACAATAAATTCTTTTTGACATTTTTATGTGATTCTATAATTGTAAACGGTCAAATATATGTACTTTTGATCCCTGAAATGTCTTTTAATCAGTGTATATACTGATTAACTTTAGATCAAGATAAGACATGATTCCACTGTGATGCAGCCTGTGGATAATATTTTCCGTGGTTAATTACTGACATCTAGTGGCAGATTTTATGAATTGCACAAAACATTTTTTGTACTAGAGGCGTCTTTCACAAAATGTGCAAATAATGTTTATACCTTTTTTCCCAGACTATAAGATATTTATCATCTCATTATAAGAATGAGATTAAATTAGATTTATTCTTTAGAAAATCGATCAGAATATCAAATGGTTTCATTTGTTACTCATAACAATAAACCATAAATTCAGTGAAACAGAATTGACAAGTGATCTCTTAATTTTTTCCAGAGCTGTATTATCTGTACTGCATTAAACTAACCTGGATTTAATATATCATTTGCTTATTTTAGTTATTGTTGCTTTAATTACATGCTGCGGTACATGACTGGACCAAGTCTGGCTTCCAGACAAGGGCCAAAAATGGTCCATATATCTGGACCAAGTCTCAGACAAGTTAATAATCAATAACTAGGCCCGAAGTGGGCCAGATCTAACCCTTGTTTGGTAATTCTGGTAGCCAGACTTGGTGTCACGACTGCAGTGAAATTGATAAACCCATAAAGCATTGTGCTTTAGGCGCATTAATAATGGTCATGGATAGTATGGTTAATAATAAAATTCATTCATTTTCCTTCGACTTAGTCCATTTATTCATCAGGGGTCACCACAGCGGAATGAACTGCCAACGTATCCAGCATGTTTTACATAGCGGATGCCCTTCCAGGTGCAAACCCAGTACTGGGAAACATCTATACACACTCATTGATACTCTACGGCCAATTTAGTTTATTCCACCTATAGCGCATGTGTTTGGACTATGGGAGAAACCAGAGCACCCGGAGGAAACCCACGCCAACACAGGGAGAACATGCAAACTCCACAGGGAAATGCCAACTGACCCAGCCGAGACTCGAACCAGTGGTCTTCTTGCTGTGAGACTACAGCACTACCTACTGCGCCACCACGTTGCCCACCCGCAGTATATTTTTCATATTTTTTTAATGAACACATTACAGTAAAAACATAAACCAATCCTGTTAAAAACACAATGGAAATTAAAATAGTTTTACAAATGATTTATTTGTCGATGTCTTGTGAATTGCCCTTTATCCGTTGAGTAACTGTTTACATTAAAAAAATCGGTTTCATTTATGAAACAAAAGAAAATACAAAACAAACAAACAAAATGTTACATTAAATTCAAAATGACGATCTCCGTCAAAGATATTATACCTCATCCACCTCCCAATCATTCTCCTTCTCTTCTCAAATGAGATTTTCAAGTTTTAAATGAAGGGGAATAAATGCACACATAATTTTTTGTCTTGGATAAACTATTTCCAGCAATAAATTAAAATATTTTAGTAAGCTGTAAAAATGGTGTGTGACTACAACAGTCTCATCTCTTTTAACTCCTTCTAGGCAGGTGCGAAATCTTGGTGTCGTCTTTGATGCTCAGCTTAGCCTTAAACCTCATTTTAAACAGTTAACAAAAACTGAATTTTATCACTTACGCAACATTGCCCGCATCCGTCCTTTTCTCTCAACACCAGATGCTGAAAAGCTTGTCCATGCTTTTATTATGTCTCGTCTAGATTTTTGTAACTCTTTATTAGGGGGTCTGCCAGCCAATTCACTTAAGATCTTACAATATGTTCAAAACTCAGCCGCACTTTTGTTAACTCACACATCATCTCGCTCTCATATTACTCCTGTTCTTCAGCAGTTACACTGGTTGACTGTAAAGTCACGCATCGATTTTAAAACCTTGATTTTAACTTACAAAGCTGTTCATGGTTCTGCACCTGCATATACATCTGCATATGTGACCTGATATCAACCTCCTCATCCTCTCGCAATCTACGTTCTGCTTCGGGGCTCACCTTGTATCAGCCCTGTTGCAAATTTAGCAGCATGGGAGGCAGGGCTTTCTCTTATCGTGCACCTAAATTGAGGAATGCTCTCCTCACAAACATCAGAAACGCCAGTTCCCTGGACTGTTTTAAGAAACTTTTTAAAACTCATCTTTTTATTATTGCTTATAGCTTATGAGGCCTTCTTTTAAAATGTATATTTTTATCATTATCATTCTTACTTTTTTGTGTATTTCATGTTCTTCTGTGTGTTGATGCTCTTGAGTTGATGCTCTTGAGTTTGAGAAAAGCGCAATATAAATAAAATGTATTATTATTATTATTATTATTATTATTATTATTATTATTATTATTATTATTATTATTATTATCTCAGTTAAGAACTAGCTGGCAGAGGACTCCAGTCATGTTCCAGCATATAAATATGTTCCATTATATTATATTATATTATATTATATTATATATTACATGGGCGAAGCAGTGGCGCAGTAGGTAGTGCTGTCGCCTCACAGCAAGAAGGTTGCTGGGTCACTGGTTCGATCCTCGGCTCAGTTGCCGTTTCTGTGTGGAGTTTGCATGTTCTCCCCGCCTTTGCGTGGGTTTCCTCCGGGTGCTTCGGTTTCCCCCATAGACATGGGGTACAGGTGAATTGGGTAGGCTAAATTGTCTGTAGTGTATGAGTGTATGAGTGTGAATGTGTGAATGTGTGTGGATGTTTTCCAGAGATGGGTTGCGGCTTGAAGGGCATCCGCTGTGTTAAAAGACGCTGGATAAGTTGGCGATTCATTCCGCTGTGGCAACCCGATATTAATAAAGGGACTAAGCTGAAAAGAAAATGAATGAATGAATATATCTCCAAATGGCTCTTTGCTGAAAAAAGGAGTTGATTATTTCACAAGCGATTGCAAAACGCCAGATAGGAGCTGTGGATACACACATCAATATAGGCTAGCATCATTTTTGTGACACTTTATTAATATTTTTACAGTACTGTGCCGGCTGGGTTTAGGGTCAGGGTATAAATGGGTAGATGTTTAAAACACAATTTATTTGGTAATTTAATAAATAACATAAATAATACTCGATACAACTAGTTTTTAAATTATCGTGATGATTGGGTTTATGTTTAGGGTAGATGTAGACGTTAGTAAAATACAATCGATGGGAAATTCAATGCAAAAATATAAACCTCTAGCACACAGGTGTCAAACTCAGTTCCAAAAGGGCCGCAGCTCTACACAGTTTAGTTCCAACCCTAATTAAACACACCTGATCAAACTAATTGAGCCCTTCAGGCTTGTTTGAAACCTACAGGTAAGTGTGTTGGAGCAGGGTTGGAACTAAACTGTGCAGGGCTTCGGCCCTCCAGGAATTGAGTTTGACACCCCTGCGCGGCAACAACCGCAGAACGCTTTGAGCGTTCCACTTTTAAACAGTAATCCAGTCCGGCTTTTAGTCCGTGTCCGTTAATCAATTGAACTACTTGCGTTGGCGGAGAGCTAAACAATGCATGATTTAACGGAGAACTTCACAGCTGAAAGGTAAGTTACTACAATATAATTTATTTATTGTGCTGTTTTATGAAAATGATAGTCAGTGTTGTATTCAGGAATTACGATTACCTGCGATCAGTTTCTGTGACCTACCTGTTGCGCAGGTGATACTCCTAAAATGTGTTTTTTTCCTGTCATGTCGGCGTTTATACCTCTGTGAGAAGCGGCTCTGTAGGTCACACTGCTTAGATACGTGTATTACACGATGTGACAGTCCTTTTATTTGTAAGGTCATGAGGTTTCTGGTTTACTCAAGAGGTGATGCTCTTTAAACCGTTCATTCACTGCTGTTGACAGCTCTGAAACAGGCTGAACTTCGCCGTCTTGCTCTTTGCGTTCAGTTTTAACCACGGAGGATTAGTTTACACATTGACTACAATACAGAGTTATTTTTTCAGACATGCAGTTAAATGTCCAATTTAAGGCAAATGTTTGCATTTTAAAAAGTTTATAAAATATGCTAATTATATTGCATTAATTTAGAGGTTTAAAGACATTTTTATACACTCTGCTCTGTTACCACAATGACTGTACTGTCTTTATGGGTTCAC